AAGCCACTGCTGTACAGACAGGTAACTATTATTCCTCATTACTAATATTAGCATCCTAACTACTGCTGCTGTGGGAAGTACTAGTACTGCTTGTAGATCAGTGTACGAGGAGCTCATGGTGTTGATTGATTTAAACTATACTAAGTGGTGAAAGCTTCCTTGTCCTTCTCTTTCTGTGTAGAAGCAGCTCCCTCTCTCCCGCTCAGAGCAGAAAGAGTTCAGACTTCTGATGTCTCTGCACAGTACGAGCCACCTTCTTCTCTGTCTGCTGCTCCTCCTCCAAACAGGAGCCGAGCAGTGAGAGCAGGCAAGGAGAATGTCTGTCTGCCCGGAGGAAAAGGAGGAGGAGACCCATATGAGGCATTTGCCAGGACAGAGAGGAGCAGGAGAGACAAGAGGAAGCCGGAGTGGAACACACAGAGGTAGAAACACAGAAGTTGTTTATTGTAACTCAGTTTAGAACCTCTCACTTGATGTCCTGCCATTCTTCCAGGCCCAGCTGTCAGTTTGTTCCAGCCTCGGCACGTTACCCTGCCGCTCTGCAAAGGAGTAGGCAGGAGAGTCGACTGAAGAGGCAAGCCGAGCTCCTCGCCCTGCAGGAGAGGACCTGTCTGCCCAGGACTGACCTCGCTCCTCCTCAGAACCCCACACAGACCGAAACCAGTCCCAGCAGGAAGGTAGGAGGCTCCCTGACACTGTTCACATTGTTGATACCAGTTTAGTCTTAACTCTCACCACACTGTGGTGTCTCTGACCTTTGTTTCGTCCCTGCTCTGTGTCAATGGCGGTTACTGTTTTCAGGTGGAGAGTGTTTCCAGAGGGCAATGCATCACTGCAGCTGTCAACACTGAAAGGTGATCAGTTCCCAATGCAAACCCACGAACCCCTTCCCCCCCAAAAAAATCACTTTAAAAGACTGTAAATGGCTGCAGACATCCAACAGATGACAGCAGCAGAGCTGAGAGTCAGCTTCACTATGCCCATTTTATTTATATTTAAGAGTCCCGGACAGTTAAAAAGCACTGTGCTCAGAGGTTTAGACCCCGTTACAGTGAAGAATAGGGCTCTCACAGAAATGAGGTTTAGTCTCAAAAATAAGTTCAGGAGAGGAATTGCATAGTTTGTTTAATGACCAACAAAAAAGACAATTTTGACCTAAAACTTGACTAAAACGTTTCTCGTTTTAATGAGAAGTGCTATATTTTCTGTCTGTACCAGTAATAGGGAAAACTGAGAAATGTTGTTTTATATTATATAAGTCAAATCGTATGTTTGCTTGATTGTAGACCGATTTCACCTTTTTGTTCTGCTGACTTGACTGAATTACTATTTAAGATATACTAGCTTCACATTTAATATGTATTTATTATAACTGTACCAGTTGTACACCATCAATTTTAAAGAATTTATAGACCAGTGAGGTGAATTATGTCCAAATGTCTTACGGTGCCTCGTGTTTTCTTCTCGTCTCCACTGACCTCAGTGAGTAATTTGAGTAATTAATAAACAAATCCCAAATCAGGAAGAGCAGTGCTCTCTTTATTTTTACAGTATATTCTTTTAAATAAATTATAATAACCTCTGTAAATGCAGGTAGTTAGCAGCAGAAGTCATGAATTTTTTTTTTACCTTAAATAAAAATCTGTTTGTCTGGATGGTGAAGTGGGTTTAAGTTTTGTGATCCGACTCCCCTGTCTCGATGTCATCGTCTCTTCCAGGGGGCGCTCTCCTCCCGTCCCTGCTGTCAGACAGAGAGTGCAGAGTCAACAGGAGTCCACCCCTTCTGTTCCGGTCCTGGAGTTCATCCCTTATGTCAGGACTGACGAAGTCTTCAACCTGGACCCACTGGAGCCTGCTGACACCCCACCACCACACACACAAACAGGTTAGATACACAAAGGCTTTCTAAGTATACCATGGTAGAATAGTTAAAGCTTTTGTTTTACTTTTTGTTCTTCTGTGGTGCCGTTTCTTCTACGTCTACTAATGATACAACTCCTACATGTAAGGGAGTGGTGATGGAATGAAAAGGAGACACACCTACACTCATTCAGATTCAATGCATCACTTATCAAGACTGTGTGAGGTTTGTATTTAGTACAACACATGGTGATATGGATGCTTATTTATACTTGCATTGCCAAAAATGTAAAAACTGCCTCTAGAACTGAACCAATTATTCAATTAATTGACAGAAAACTGGTAACAGTTTTGATAATCAATAAAGCATTTCAGTCATTTTTCATGCAAAATTGCCAAAGAATTTTGATAAATATTTACTGCTAATGTTCTCTGGAGCGCTGTTGCCTCACAGCAAGAAGGTTCCGGGTTCGGGGGCTTTCTGTGCGGAGTTCTCCCTGTGCCTGCCTGGGTTATATATACCAATCTGGGTTGCGTCTGGAAGGACATCTGGTGTACATGCGTGCCACATGTACACATGCGAACAGTTGATTCGCTGTGTCGACCCATAATGGGACGTGGTGGTGGTGGTTCTCTGGGTTTTGGGTTGTTGGTTGTGTAAAACAAGCCATTTTAAAATATCACCTTTCTCTGCTGTTCTAAATAATAAAACAGGCATTTTTCACTATTTTATAGACAGTAAATTGTTTTATTGTAAAAATGATCAGCAGCTTAAACAAGACCAGTGGAAAATAACTGTCGCCACAGGGGACACCACCGCCCTCTCTCCTTAGATCTTTGCTGAGCCAGCAGTTGTAAAACTGTTGACAGTAAACTGCTGCTGTTGTTGTGAAGCACTCATATAAACTTACTTTGTCCTTGTCAAAGCTCCTGCTCAGAGCTCAGCGGCTCCTCCCGCTCCCTCATATCGAGACCCCCTCCTCCACCCTGAGCTGTTTTGTAGCACACGCACACACCGACAGCAGGAGATCCTGAGAGGCCTGGCCCAGCTACGGCAGGGAACACACACACACACACACACACACACACACCCCAGGTTACATTTATGTCCATACTAAACTGTACTCTAGAGCCTGACATTTTACAGCTAAGAAATATACTTGGAGAGCAAAACTGCATGTGTAATGGTACAAAAATGGAAAAGCCAACTTCACTGGAAAGTAGTATCAATTATGGCTGGATCCTGTAGCTGGATCCAAGTCAGCAAATACCTGGATTTGTTACACTGCGGAGCCAACGGATCTTCTACTGAACCTTATTCGTCAGTGCCACCGATGTCTGTTGTTGTTCACATATGATTAAAAAGTAAAAAACTTAAGAGTTGCTTGGAGCTTTTGAGGCAACATTTTGAACAAATCTTATTCTGTAATGAAGAAACATCTCTCCCATTGTGGCAGTGCGTTTCACGGATAAGTTTTTATTTATTTTTAAACAGTGGGAGGTCTATGGCACAGACGGACAAGCTGATCAAGGCAGGAGACTGAAGGACATTAACCATGAGCAGAGGCAGTTCATTGTTGGTTTTCGTCTCTGTACGGGGAGTGTTAAGAATACAATCGATATAGAAAATGACCAACCTTTTCCTTTAACTGCAACATTTCTTAAGTCTTAATGACACAATCAGATTTAGCAAATCACTAGTCTGAAACTAGCTAATAGGAGTTTAGGAAGCACTTCCTGTTCAAACTTAATAGTGGATTTAGGAACCTAGTGAGATGACCTGACCATGAAAAGAAAACTGATGTGCATGTACACACACTCCAAGAGGGTCCTCACAAGTACACAAACCAATATTTGTGCATGTTTTCAGGGTTTATTACAGAAGCAGAGGGAGTTGGAGACAGACCTGAGTCCTCTGCACAATGACGGCAAGCTCCGGTTGCCCTCAGCGACACATCGCATGTGACCTCTGAGCCCTGACACTTCACAGCTGGTTGCTGTGTGTGTGTGTGTGTGTGTGTGTGTGTGTGTGTGCTGTGTGTATTGTACTGAGAGTGATTGGTGTGTTCCAACCAGCCAAAATGAAGAACATCCAACAGAAAACCTTCACCCTCAGCTCTGAGGATCTCTGGAGTTTCTTCATTCAGCAAATGCATTTGTCTGTGCGGCTGCTTATGACCCCAAGCTTGTTAATATGATCAGGTTTCATGTTGGTTTCAATTTGTTGTCTCCATCAGAGCCAGGTTTTTTTTTAAAATTGTTTCCTTCTCTTGTGAGGCAGCTAAACAGCACAAACATCATCACAGTGCCAAATGTAACTAAACCTGAATGTAAATAGAGGAGCAACATTTGTCAAGACTGTTTTATAAAATAGTTTTTAATGCACTTTTGCAGTCTAACTTTTTTTTTTTCGAGGTTAGATGGTTTCACACTTCATAGTAATGTTGAATTATTTAAATTATGAGTAAAAGATGTTTTTGTTTCTTAGCTTCCTGCCGGCCAAGGAGCTGTTTCTCTTTACGTTTCTGTGTTATGTCACTTTTCTGGTTTTATTCATATTAGTGTGTTTATTTATTGCAGATGTATTAAATAAATTAATGTATACAGAGACCCTTATTTCTTACACATGCACGTTTTCATTTAATTTTTGTAAGCTCTGTTTCCCCTCAACTGACATCAGATATGTAAAACACTAGGGCTGAATCAGCAGCTACTCTATTAATCAGTCGTTCAGTCAGTTTTTAAGCACAAAAGTCAGACTTTCTCCGACTCCAGCTTCTCAGACATGAAGATTTGTAAATTGAAAATCTTCAGGTTTGGGGCTGCTGGACAGACATGACAACTCAAGTATGAGGTGGGCTCTATACTAGATGGTTAAGAGAAATCACTGCGCCTCCCTGCCTATTTTACTCTCCCAAACCAAAGGAGCCTGTTGCTGGCAGGTGCCTTAAAAGGTGATTGCACACAATAAGGGCTAGGCTAACACCAAGCTGTCAGAAGAGGATACTCACCTCAGCAGGGTTGGGGTTGACATACCCTTGTTACCAAACTTCATCTATGAAATAATAACATTGTACTCACCAAGCTGAGATCAGGGAACATGCCTGACGATCACGTGCGCTCACTTTCAGCCTTGCTTCTTCTGAAGTGCTGGAAAACACAAGAAACACTGACAACAGCAAACACAACAAACTGGGGGGGAAACAGTTGTAATAGGTGAAGGAGGCATGTTTCTCATAAAGAGAACCTTACTGCAGTAACTAGAGGCTCCTTCACTAGAGCTGAAACAATACAGTGCAGCTGATTAAATGATCAATCAGCTCTTGTTTTAAGCAACAAATACCAAAAATCTTCTGACTGAAATGTAAATATTTACTGGCATCTTCAGGTTCTGTGTGGTTGTATTCTTTTGATTTGATTTTGGGGCATTTTTCCATTATTTTCTGACATTTGGTGACCAAACAGATCCAGTTATTGCAGCCTTATCCTACTTAGATGACCATAAAAGCCTAAACGTATGAACCTGGATTTCTCCTCAACAGCATTGCAGTAGCAGCTTCGGTTTTAAACGAGACAAGCCCCCTTCATGGACATATATTGATGTCTTTTGTCCGCTAAAGCTTCTGAGAACAGCCTTCAATGACGACGACTGATTGAGACAAAAAGGAAACCGAGGCGTCAGTCTGCTTCAAAGTGCTTGTCTGTGGTCTGATGACACTGAGAAAGGCTTGGGAGGGTGAAATGAATGCAGCATAGCATAGAAGAATCCTGGAAGAGAACCTGCTGCATCTTGCTAAGAGACGGCAACTTGGAGATTTGCTTTCCAGAAAAACCAAACCTAAAACCGAACCCATCGAAAATTAATGGGTGAATTTGAAGAAGGCTGTTCACTCAACATCTGTTAGAGGTGGGAAGAAGCATTTTTTCTGAACATTTTGTAAAGATATTTTCATTCTGACATTAAAGGCATTTCTGTCAGACATTCTGTCTGAACCACTTTGTTCTGAGCACACCCTGGTCTCTGTGATCACGCCCGCACCAGCCCTGTGTTGGTTCTGATGGACAGGAGCTGATTCCATGTCATGTGACTAAAGATGGATTTTTATGGTGCCCGTGATGATTATTTTCTTATCTTGTGTGCACAAGTCTGTATCTTGTTTGCATGAAAACTCACGTGAACAGGATAAATAAATCTTTTCGGGAGCTCATTGTATTTTGGAAAATGATCAACAATAAAATAAAAAGGTTGATGCTGAATGAAAACTAAAGGTCCTAACAGACCAAAACAAGGCCAAGCTGATACATTTCTGAAATCAGATGGTCTTATACTTGTATAGTTCTTTAATATGCATTGCAGCGCCCTCAAAATTCACCCAGTTGCACCCCCAATCACTCACATACCAGTGAAATCACCGGGAACTTGGGGTTCAGTGTCTTGCCCAAGGACACTTCGACACGTGGATGGGAGAAGCTGGGAATCGAACCACGACGCTTCCAGTTAGGAGATGACCAGCTCCACCTCCTTAGCCACATCTGGCTCATGTGGTGAAGACCCGACTGAGACGATCAAAATCAATCAGAGGCTGGTTTACACAGGCAAATTTAATACAAAAAACTGGTGTAAAAAAAGGATCATTTTAAGTTAAAACCAGTCTGTTAGGGAGCCACTTTCTATATACAACAGTAACTAAACACAAACAGTTCCCAGGGTAACAAAACCAACATTCAGCTTAAAAAAACATTTTTCTCTTACAGTATCCACTGGTCTGTCCACTTTAGTCCAGTTTTTATTTCAGTTTGTCCACAGTCTCAACTTTAAGAACCACTGTGCGTCTCCATCTCCTCCGTGCTGCTGAGGCGACAAGCAGCTCATGTTTTCTCACCATACAAACTAAATTGTTAGTTTTCCAGAACAACCAGGGTTCCTCTAGAAATCTGTAGAGTTCCCCCATTGCCCCAAAAATCCAACAGTCTATTTTTCTTGTGTAGAAAACAACATTAATCAAAAAATATATGTGAACAGAGTCAAGGTGGTGGTGCAATCAAGAAAGGTAGAAACGGGGATTCAGCCAGAGGCTTTTAGTCAATGCTCTAGTTCAGAGTACAGTAACAAAACAGTCGAGGACTGATCAGACCATCATTCAGTCAGGAGATGGTCTCTGAGGCCAAGCTGAAGGAAGCTTCTAGAAAATGGCCTAT